AACCCTGTGTTGGGACCTTTGGAGGTCCAGATTATTCCATGTCTGGGCATTTCGGGAATTGGTGAAGGTTTTGGATTGAAATCCTTATGCCTTAGGTCAACATGTAAACCATAAGTCTTGGGGTGTAGCATGAGCACCTAAATGAAGACCTTATGAAAAGGACCAGTCGAGGAAGGCCAGACCTATGAATGGTCGGAGCAGTTATGACCTTAGAAGCAGTTTGAGCGGACTGCATGGCATGGACTCGCCGAGTCAGATGAGCAGACTCGGCGAGTAGCTTGAAGAATAACTGGGACTCGCCGAGTTGTTCCTCAGACTCAGCGAGTGGAGTCGGGGTGGCCCCGCGATTCTTCCAGGAGTAACTCGTCGGGTCAAGGAGGATACTCGACGAGTATAAGGGAAACTTTAGAGGACCAGAGGATGATTAGACTCGCCGAGTCGCCAGGGTACTCGCCGAGTCCGGTCAAGTTGATCGTGGACTGTTGACCAGAGTTGACCTATGTGTGATTTCTTAGGGTCAGTTGTCTTGGAAGATAAAAGTGTTAATAAGGGACGTACGATATTATAGGGAGTCTGTAGCTCGGCGGATCGAGTACGAGGGATTTCAGGAGTTGCTAGCTTTCAGTATCCACGAGGTGAGTCTTCTCACTATACTGTACCCGGAAGGGTTTGACAATGTGACCGGAAGGTCGGATATGGTATATGATATATGTGCTATATGTGGTAAGTTAAAGCTATCATGTGTTGTGTATGTTTACGGGCCGGAAGGCAATATGTTATGTGATTGGAAGGTCGGATATGTTATGTGTAATATGTGTTATATGTGTGAAGTTAATTGTTATGCGTGCTGTGTATGTTTATATGGGCCGGAAGGCAATATGTTATGGGCCGGAAGGCAATATGTTATGGGCCGGAAGGCAATGTGCTATGGGCCGGAAGGCAACACGTTATGGGTCGGAAGGCGATTATCTCATGGGCCGGAAGGCATTGTGCTGTGGACCGGAAGGTCAGGGCCTGGAAAGGCGTATGTGCGTAAGGTGTGTATTCGGGAACTCACTAAGCTTCGTGCTTACCGTGTTTTATGTTATGTGGTTTCAGGTTCTTTCAGTAACGCGGGACGGCACCGGCTCGATTGTACACACCAAAGAAAGAGTTGTATTTTGGAGGATCCTGGTTTTCTATTCAAGTGAAAATGGAACTATGTTTTGTAATTCAAATATGAATATGATTTTAAACAAGTATTTTAATGTTAAATTGATTATTTAAATGAAAATTTTTTCCTTGAAAACCACGGTGTTACAGACACTTAAGGGTGTTTGGGTGTACAGGTCATATGAAGATTGCGAAGAATCACCTAAAGAAATTAGATGATAGAAGCAAGAGGGTCGTGTATCTCGGTACAGAAAAAGGATCCAAAGCTCATAGACTCTTGGACCCTGACACAGGATTGATTCATGTAAGTAGGGATGTAGTGTTTGAGGAAGATCAAACTTGGAATTGGGAGAAGACGACCAAGATAAAGGCAATTCCAGGCATGAGCTTCACAGTGGAAGGCTTTAATTTCAACGAATTCCAGGGAGATGATTATGATCCGGAACCCTATACCCCACAACACGGGTACGGGTCAAGTGGTGATAGCAACTGGACTGGAGAACAACAGCCCACTAGCTCTCCATTGGGCTCTTATGGAAGCCCACAAAGTACACCCTTAAACCAACCTGATACACCTAATTCACCAGTCACGCCCAATTCTCCCACCACTCCAAACTCTCCAACTGAAACAACGAGCACCGCTTCCAGTTCCACGGGAGGAGGAGCTCCAAAACGATACCGACTCCTCACAGAGTTGTACGATCAAACAGAAGAAGTCGAACTCCCTGAAGAACTAATGATGATCCAAGATGATGAAGAACCTAACTCATACCGAGAAGCAAAAGAGAAGACCGAATGGGTTAATGCAATGAAAGAAGAATTGGCTTCAATCGAAAGGAATAACACATGGAGGCTCGTCGAACTCCCAAAAGGGAGAAAAGCGATCGGTTTGAAGTGGGTCTACAAGGTGAAAAGAGATCCACACGGAAGAATTCTGAAGTACAAGGCGAGAATTGTGGCGAAAGGGTATGTACAGAAACAGGGAATTGACTATGAGGAAGTCTTTGCTCCGTGGCTAGGATCGAAACCGTACGTGTAATTTTGGCACTTGCTGGGATGAATGGATGGTGGGTTCACCATCTTGATGTAAAATCAGCGTTCCTGAATGGAAGATTGGAAGAGGAAGTGTACGTATCTCAGCCTGAAGGATTCGAGAAAAGTAATGAGGAAGGAAAGGTGTACAAGCTTTCAAAGGCCCTGTATGGACTAAAACAGGCACCCAGGGCTTGGAATTCATGCCTGGACAAATACTTGAAGGAATTGGGATTCAGAAGATGCTACCAAGAATACTCAGTGTATACAAGAAAGAAAGATGGGAATGTTCTAATCGTGGGGGTCTATGTAGATGATCTGTTAGTCTCAGGAAGTTGTGATGAAGACGTAAGGAACTTCAAATTAGAGATGAATGCAAAATTCGAGATGAGCGATCTCGGACTGTTGACTTACTACCTGGGAATCGAGGTCAGTCAAAGTGATACAGGAATTGCATTGAAGCAGGAGGCTTATGCAAGGAACATTCTCAGCAAGACTCAAATGATTGACTGCAATGCAACAAGGAGTCCAATGGAGCATAAACTACGATTGAGCAAAGGTGAAGAAGACGAATTGGTAAACCCCAAGGAGTACAGAAGCATAGTTGGTGCTTTAAGGTATCTCACTCATACTCGACCTGATCTCTCTTTTACAGTTGGGGTAGTTAGTCGATTCATGGAAAAACCAACTGTAAAACACCTTCAAGCAGTTAAAGGCATTCTAAGATATGTGAAGGGGACACTAAGTTATGGATTGACATACAAGAGAGGGGAAAGCAAGGTTACCCTCACAGGTTATTCAGATAGCGATTTTGGGAAAGATTTAGATGATGGGAAAAGCACAGGAGGTGTAGCATTCTACATGAATGGGAATTTGGTCACGTGGACCTCACAGAAGCAACGAAGTGTAGCATTGTCAAGTTGTGAAGCTGAGTTTATGGCGGCAACAATGGCAGCTTGCTAGGGAATCTGGCTAAGGCGACTCCTCACTGAAATAACGGGACAAAAGGTGCCACCAGTGACACTCTTTGTAGACAATCGATCAGCCCTGGATTTGATGAAAAACCCAGTCTTTCATGGACGCAGCAAACACATTAATACAAGGTACCATTTTATTCGAGAGTGTGTAGAAAATAGGGAGATTGTGGTGAATCATGTGTGTGGGACAAAGCAAAAGGCAGATATTCTGACAAAAACAATGGCAAGGGTAAAGCATGAAGAAATGAGGGAACTGATTGGTGTGAAACCAATCACAAAACAGGTGTGAAACCAGTCACAAAACACTGAATTAAGGGGAGAATGTTATAATAATTCAGGTGTTTCATTTATTATTAAGCACGTTTTAAGTTTGAGTAGAATAAATCAAAGTAGTCAGAGAAGTACTCCCTGGTCTACAACAATTAGTCTAGTTTGTTTCCTAGTTTTTAGCAAATTTCTAGTTTAAATTCACAGGCAAGTGTACGTGTTTTAGTATCCCAGTTTAAGCTTTGCTTTTGTTCAGTGAATAAAGTATACATTGCCTCAATTATCCTCTGTGTTCTTTTCTGCATCTCTGTTTCTCTGTTCATTGTGCAGCCTTCAGAGAAATTGTTCCAGTTTTACCCTTTTCCTGCTATTATCAATTTATGTCCATTTCTGCAGCTTCCTTTGTCGTAGATTGTTTCCTATCTTGGTAATAAAAGTCTTTATTACCCCTGCAAGAAAACCAACAATTCCATGAAGGCTTCCTGACGGTAATTAACAGGTAGAAATTTACCTTGTAACAACTTCTTGAACTTTGCCCACGTTTCAACTTTGGATTTTTGAGCTTGCTGGCGACGTTTTTTCTCATGTTCCCACCATAGCGATGCAGATTTCCGTAGTTTAATGGCTACTAGCTTAACCTTTAAGGGATCAGGGATATCTTTCAAGTCGAAGATCCGCTCTACGGTGCTTAACCAGTCTATGAAATCATCAGGATGGGATTTACCATCAAATTCAGGAATTTCTATCTTCATTCCTAAATTGCGCAAAGGGTCCTCGTGAGTTTGTCTCCGAGCATGTCGCTGGTATGTAGCAAAAGCGTTGGGTCGGTCAAAGCCAAAAGGGTTTACGGCCTCCCCGGCTCTGTCATCCCAAAATTCCGATCCAGTTTCTTCCTGTTGCTCCTCCTGTCTTAATTCCAACTCCCTGATGCGTTGCTGGAGTCTTTCAATCTCACGATCTCGTGGATCGCGTTCTTCTTCTTCGTTGCCTCGGTCGGCGTTTCTGCGAAGAGGGGGGCGTCCACGACGGCCAGCCATTTGATTCACCTAGAGCTCTGATACCAAATGATGCGTTCTAATTTCACAATCAAATGGCAAAACTCAGTTAAGATGATCAACAGGAGGCTCAACCTTCAACACAAGGCTTTCACGTGAATATTCCCAAGAAAAAGTATCCTCCAAAAAAAACCGCCGTTTCTTGGCTTAGGGTTCGGTACAAAAAGCAAGCAAAACCAAAATTTTGGAAAGTCTAATAAACTTGAAAAGGAAATACTAAAAAGTCAAAACAAAGTAATTTGACCACCAAATAAATAATAATAATAATAATAATAATAATAATAAAAGCCTGCACGTAATAAAAATTTCACACCAATTCAACTAAGTCAAGTTTAGATGCTCCGTCATCACTTATGTTTCTTAATTAATCCTCTTATGCGAAGTTTAACACTATATTTTGTTGAAACAGTTGGCTAGAAAACATGCATGGATACCTCAACAAATTAATTATACTGAGAATTATTTACCTTTAGAAAATTAAAATTTAGTATTTGCTCGAAATATGTCTTGCTGAGCGAGTTGTCATTATTTTATTTATTTATTTGTTTATTATTATTATTTTTCTTTTTTGAACAGCAATCGAATTGTGTTTATTGAGTTGGGCTGCTTTTGAAAATAACAACATAATTACTTTTCGGCTCCATTGATGTTCGTAGACAAATGTTTCAAGGGATCTTTTATTGCCTAAAAAAGTATGTAGATATATATTTTTTTCATGTGACTTGCCCTACCAAACAATAAATATATTTTCTATTTTTATATTAAAAAGGGTATAAAATGGTATGACATAAAGAGATAATCGACCTTCTTTTTCACTGCTTAAAAAATCAAATCAAAATGACATAATAAATATATATATATAAAGAAAAAGGAAACTTAATTATAGCATTTGAACAAATGTTAACCGACTTGTTGAATAACAAAAAGAGCCACACTTGGGACGAAAGAAAGAGCTGAAAATTATGAAATTGACATGGAAGAATCAAACCAAGAACAAGAACAAGAACAATAAGCGCCCAATCGCAACCATCTCTGACCTCCCATTTGATCAGGAAGAAGATACAGTCGCTACGTTCGCCGCCGACGACACCAGCCAAGATAGATGTAAAGCTGGAGAGGATGGTAGTGTCGGGACGTCTACACCGGGTTCGAATGTTGACGAGACGATCCAACTTGCCGAATCCTTTCAAGCACAAGGGAACAAGCTTGCGGAGGTAACTTTGACCTTTTTAGTAAACCCTAGGTTTTGTTCATTTGATCTATGATGGTGTTTGCTTCACGGAATTGGTGGGTTTGGAATTAAGGAACTGTTCGTTCAAATTCATACTATTTTTTCTCCAAAATTTAAATCCAATTCATGGAATTAGAATTTTGTAATAGACCTAAGTTCTATAGATCGAATAGCAGTAATCCGAACAACTCCTGATTTGACTATCTATTATCGCTGGAACTATGATGCGGATGTCCAGTTAATCATTTATGGTTTTGCGATTGAATCTTTACTTCCTCTTTATGTTGTATATCTTCTTAATCTGTTCTTATTTCACATATTGAAGGTCGGAAAATACCGTGAAGCACTTGGAAAATGGGAATCTGCTATCACTTTGATGCCTGAGAAAGCCACTTTACACGAGCAAAAGGCTCAAGTTTTACTTGAAATCGGAGAAACATGGAAGTCTCTAATGGCAGCAACTCGTGAGTATCTGTAATCTGTTACTTATTTGTATCTTGATTTTGTAATCTTTTTTTCATAATGGATACACAGTAATTTCTTATTTTGCTGCCATTAGAGACTTCCATGTTTCTTGATTTTGTATCTTGATTTTGTAATCTTTTTTTCATAATGGATACACATGTAGACTGTTTGTGACCATAATCTTTTTGGGTTATAAATGGGCATATTGACCTGTTATTTCACATTTTTCATTGTCCAACAGATATGGCATCATCTACTGTAATTTCTTATTTTGCAAACTGCAAATGTATTATAGAATGCATAGTATTGATTTGTACTTAATTATGTAGGTGCCACCCGATTGGAGCCTTCATGGGCTGAGGTTTGTGACTTTTTTATTTTACCTCCAAATTGGAATTCAATTCCATTCCGCCTTTTAGTTGAAAATGACTACAGAAATTGAATTCCATTGGAATTAACAAAAAGCCTGTGTGATGGAATTCAACTTTCCTACCAAGAACTCATGGAATTCAATTCCAGTCCTCCCTCATTTATATAAATGACTAAACTACCCTTTTTCCAAACCCTTGTTATTAACATGCTCTCTGTTTCTGCAGGCATGGGTCACCCTTGGAAGAGCACAACTGAACTTTGGGGAGCCTGATAGTGCCATAGAAAGCTTTGACACAGCATTAGCTATTAAGGTACATCCATCCTTCTATGCAAAAGATGTGAATGCCCTTCTCATGAGTTTTTTTTTTTTTTATTTTAACATGTATTAAATGAATCCAACCAATGTGTGCAGCCTGATTCTGTAGAGGCAAAGGAGGATAGGAAAGCAGCATTACATCTTGTGAAGAAAAGAAAACAGCTTCATTCTTCAGGCCTCAGTGTCTCTGAAAACCGCTTTGTGGTTGGAGAGGAAACCCATGAACAACGTATATGAATTATCAAAGGCTTGCCAAATAATATCTCTAGTTTAATAATGTTATAATTGTAGCTTCAGTTGTGTTGTGAGTTGTAATATATATACTACTTATTCGGGCCGTGATTTATTTAGTAAACTCTTTTCATAAGCTTCTTGTTGCTTTCTTAGTTTTTCCTTTTCATGATTTATTTATCCATGTCCAACTCTCATAGATTCCAAGGCGTTTTATGGGTCTATATAAGCTTTCACCTGCAAAAATGAGTTGCCGAGCACCCACTGCTGCTTCCCTAGTTTACAAGGATATGGGGATGGGGTTTGCCGGCCGATCATGTTAAGATACTAAATCTTTACCAAAAAAAAAAAAAAAACATTAGTTATTACTTGAACTTACCTGCAAAAGGTTGATATCTGTCGTGCATATACCAGGTGATCATGTGGAGGTGAATGTTTTTCAAAGTATAATGTCCTTATAAGAAGAAAAATAAAAAGAGAATGTATAATGCTAAAACTTGAAAGGTTTTTTTGTACATTGCATTAATACGAATGGTGAATGCACAATGTTGTAATAGAATGTAATGAATATAAGATGTTACAATATATAAATATGAAAGTCCTTTGCCTTTTCATGCATATACCAACAATTCTTCTTTCATGACCATTTCATTAGAAACTTTTTGTAGTTGTCGCACTCTGCCTCTGCTTGTTTCCAACTCTCTGTAAGGAGTTATCCACCAGCAAAAGAACCATGTTATATGTGACATCCGCAAAATCTCGGCCAGAAAAGAGCTGATTTTCATTTATGCTTTTAAAATAATTTCAGAATAAATCTTTTTGATTTGAAAGAGTTGCGGAATTTGCTCCCAAAAATAAAATGTGATAAAATAATATTTACCAAAGCATTTCATAACAGAAATGTATTTTCATTATATAATCAAAACTCGGGATGTCATGTTCCGATACAGACCATAAAGCATAAACGATAACATTACAAGTCATTCAACAAATATATACATATACAGACTTGTAAACAAAACAACTTGATGATTCATCCATCTTATGCCCTTGCGCCACTTCCTATAATCCAAATAAAACTGAGTGGGTCAGGCTTGGGAGCCTGGTGAGCATATAGGGTTTTCAACCCACAATAAATAGTTATATTTAATTCCACCATCCAACAATAACCCAATTACTCATTCCCGTTATTCTCACTTTACGTCCCTAAAACAACTAATACAAGGGACCTAGTCTCAGCGTTGTTGTTTCTGTCGCGAAACTTCGACATGTCATAACTTCTTCGTTATAACTCAGATTTCGGCATTCTTTATATCTTCGGAATCCTTGTTTCGACCACTACATCTTTATGCAAAGATATAAGGCTTATCTCATACTTTAATTTTGACGCTTATTTTATTTTTAATTCATTAAATTATAATAATTAAGAAAATAAACACATAATTCACATAATACTCAAATATTTCATCATTAATACTTCAAAAAGAGTTACAAGGGTTAACCTAGACTATTACATCAATGATAATGTCTAGCCTAAAAACGCGGGCGTTACATTATACATGGTAGACATTAATAGAAATAATATATTTAGAAAACAACTTATAAAATGGTATCCTTTAAATTAATAACATCAACATAAAGCAACTATATTTCAAAACAAACAGAAAATACACATTGCCTTTTGATGTTATCATGAAAGTCCTCAAAGGTTGAAAGCCACCAAAAACATATATGGGTAATGTTAGCATGCTTCTTTCACCTCTTTGAACACCCAACAGTGTCTAAATATAGCAAATAATAGCTATAGATTGCCCTAAAATTACAGATCGCAACTTTAATGCTTTACATCTAAACCTGGATTGGAGGTGGTGTTAAATGATGAATCTGAAGGTGGATTGGGAATGAAGAAATCTAGAATGGAGACCAGGTGTTCTTCCCTTGAAACGTGTCATCGTGAAGACGAAGGAGCCTGGTGACTCAACTTGAAGGAGGGGCTCTTAGGATAACAAGTGAAGTTCTCTTACCGAACTGGAGAATACAAAAACTGAGGATGGGTGGTTGTGGGAGGTCAGAGGTGGTTGTTCAGGTCCTGTTTACCGATGAATTGAAACCTAGTCGGTTCCTTAGCTTCCGTTAGCTGCACGTTACGATCCAATAAATTGCAAAGGATATGTGAGGTGTCGTATCAGAGGAAAAGCGGTGTAAGCTAAATCTATTAAGAAATCAACACGTTTTGACATGGCCCCTAAAACCAAGCAAGAGCTGGCAAGCAGCTTTGGTGGAAACGCAGGCAAAGAAGAAAACCTCATAGTGAAGTAAGGAGACGCCATCATGAGAGAAGCATGAGGTCAAGAGGACGGGCAGGCGGTGTGAAGCAACCAAGCTGCTGCACGCCATATACGTTAAGAATGGCCGCCCACAACTTTTCTATTGGTGGAGGAAGCAGCTAATCGACATGGACATAGTTTCAACTCTTTAACATATAGGTAATGACATAGTTTCCACCAATGTTTTAAAACCCGGGTTTTTAGTTGACCCGGTATGATGAGCGGTTCACGGGTCAACCGGTTCAACCGGTTGAACCGTCGGATCAACCCGGTTTATGATCTTTTTCTATTTTTATATATTTTTATTTTCATGCATAATGCATAAACATATAAAACCAATAATTTAATGTCCACAAAGTTTAAATATTTAAAAACATTGAAGAAACCACAAACGGCTCGTTGTTTTGGCGTTCGCTACTTGTTTTCAACTATTCAAATCCTATTAAAACGGGTCAATCCGGTTTTAACCGGTTTGACATAAGCGGTTGAACCGCGGTTTAGAGGAAACCCGGCCGGTTCGATCCGGTTCGTATTTTTACAAAAAACCGGTCTCAATTGACCCGCCTTCTATCCCGGGTCACGGTCCAACCGGTTGAACCGGCCGGGTCAACCCGGGTTTTAAAACATTGGTTTCCACCACCACAACCTTTCTCCGCCGGTCGCGACCTCCATTACGGCCGCTCTTCTTTTTCTCCTTCGTCTCTCTCCTCTAACAACTTTGATCTAAATCGAAGTTTAGATTGAATTTTATTAGCCTTCGGGAATTACTCTTAGGTTTGGTCAAAATCCATCACCACTGCCCTTCTCCGCCAGTCGCAACCTCCACTGCCGTCCTTCCTATTCTTCACCGCAGTCTTCCACCTTTTACAACTCAGATCTAAATTAAAGACTAATGTGGATTTTATTTGCTATCAGAAATAACGCTTGGATCTTGCTACCTGATACTTTATTACAGCTTAGAAAGAGAAGAAGCGACAAGTGAGTAAGTAATTCGATTAACTCTTTAACTGTGATGTAATTGTTTACTAAATAAAAATTCTCGATCGGATGTTAAATGACGCAATGGAATATAACAAGAAATAAAATAAGAAAAGTAAATCAAGTTTCTAGATCATGAACACAAGTTGCTGCATTCAGTTTTTTTACTAATTTTCAACCTAATTTATTATCAATTTAATAGCTCTTCATTTTATGCATCCTTATAGATGTGATTATAAATACTTCCTTTTCTATTGGTAGGATTTTGTTATGCTTTGGTTAGCTTTAGTTATAATGGAATTAGTGCAAGTGTGCTACTTTACTTAACTAGCGAGTGAATCTATTTAATATAGAGAGTTTTAATTTATATTTTTTACAAAATAGTTCATTGGAAGTTATTTGATTAATTAGTTGGACACTTAAATAGTCAAATTCATTTATGTCAATATAATTTTGAAGTATATGTGAGGGATTATTGAGAATTTGTCGAAGTAGAAAAGGTTATTAAATCATATACATACAATGTGTTTGTTGAAATGCCTAATTAGATATGTAAGAATTAAGACGTTAAGTTGTGAATATTATGAGTGAGTATCAGAACCGATGTATTAAACTGTGAATAAAGGGTGTATTACACTGTGAATTAAAAACAAATTGATATATTGAACTAAGAATTAGTGTATGAATACTTTTATTAAATATCCAAATATGATTTTGTTTTATCCAAATATGGGTTTTGGCGCTTGCTAGAATGAACGGTGTGTAAATTTTTGTATTAAATTGTGAACGACATATAAATTGGGGTATTAAACGGTGAATGATCTATGAATTGATGTATTAAGCTACAAATTAGTGTTTGAAATGTTGAATTAAATTGTGAATTCTAATTTTTTTGTATCCATATTTGATTTTTAAGAGAAAAATGTTAGCGGTAGTGGCACCAATGGTTTGTTTTAACACGGATCATGGATATGAAGATATTGAACACTTTTAGATCTATAAACAAATTGCATTGAAGGTGTTTGATGAAATATCATAATAAAATTAATGTATGTTTTTAGCTGTGAATACTATGAATAATTGTCTAAACTACTCTATTAAGTTGTGAATGGATGTCTGAACTTATTTTTTAAGCTGTTAATGAGTGTTTGAAGTAGTCTTTTTAAGTTGTGAATATGTTAATGAGTGTCTAAACTCTAAAATGATGTACTAAACTGTGATTTATGTTTTCTTTAGCCAAATTTGATTTGTGGAGTTTGGTAGAGTGTAAGAAAACCACGGGTGAATGTAACTTTTTTCTTTGTTAAGCTGTGAATGTAACATTTTTCTTTATTAAGTTGTGAATGTAGTTTATTTCTTTATTACGTTGTAAATGTTATGTTTTAAGCTGTGAATATTTATGTAGTAAGCACTGAATTTTGTATATTAAATGTGAATAGATTGCGTTAAATTGTGAATTTTATATAAATTTTTGTTTTGAAATGTGAATGAGTGAATTAATATATTCATTTAAACTGTGAATATAATATTTTGAACTATAAATATGTTTTATAAAGAAATATTTTTCAAGAGATCTAAAATTTAAGAAAGAATTGAATTTATCAAGATATATTTCTGTTTATTTAATGAAATTTTGGTATATTTGGTTGCAAAAAGGAAATGATTTGTGTTCAAAGATATTACTAGAGAAATGGAAGTTATAGTGTTTGTTCTGTTAAGCTGTAAATGGGACCAGAATAATATAATTGAGTTTAGTGTTAGTCCAACGACATTCCGATGATAGTCCGGGGGTGGCCCGATGGCGATAGTTAGCAACCGATTGTAAAGGAGGTAAAATAAGAGTTTTTTTCATATAAAATAAATGTTTGATATATCCAAAATGTCTTTAATAATAAATAAAAGAATGGTTCTTAGAGTTCTTAATATTTTTTGGTTCTTATTTGAACCACTCCTTATATATATATATATATATATATATATATATATATATATATATATATATATATATATATATATATATATATATATATATATATATATATAGGGTTAGGTTCATGTGAGACGACCTAATTTTGTGAGACCATGAGACACATTTTTTTTTTTAAATTTTTTTTAGTTAATTCAAGTTCCGAAAATAATATTTAAAAAAAGAATTTTTTGATTTTTCCATTTATTTTACATTTTAAGATTATTTTTAAAATATGTACAGTGTAATATTCTATTTAGAATATTTCATGTATTTTTTAAAAAAAAAAAGATTTTTTTTATTTTTTTTAGTTAATTCAGGTTCCGAAAATAATATTTAAAAAAAGAATTTTTAGATTTTTCCATTTATTTTTCATTTTAAAATTATTTTTAAGAATATGTCAGTGTAATATTCTACTTATAATATTTCACGTATTTTTTCAACAAAAAAAAACAGGATTTTTTTATATTTTTTTAATATTTTTTTTAGTTAATTCAAGTTCCGAAAATAAGATTTAAAAAAAGAATTTTTG